CTCATGGATCGTTGGAAGAAGTCGCTCTTGCAGGACGTTTTGATACCATTCTTTATTCCTGGCAGTGTTTTTGGGCAGAATTATGAGAGAGCTCATTCCCTCGGTTGGAAAGCAACCCCACACATGGATGATCTCAGGACGCTTCACTGTTGGCACAACACAGGACTCATGGTAGCGTTCAGCATTTCTTCTCAGAACAATCAATGTTCCAGATGTCCCAAACAATCGGAAGGGAGCTTCATCAGAGAAAATAACTTTGGACCAGTCTTCTGCTGTCCAATCCTTGTACTTACTGCAGAATTTCAGTCTGCCTTAATGTTTTTCTTGGAGAGAAGTGGCTTCTTCACTGCCCTTCTTGACACCAGGCTGTTGTCCAAAAGTCTTGGCCTCACTGTGAGTGCAGATGCTCTCACACCAACCTGCTGCCATTCCTGAGCAAGCTCTGCACTGGTGATGACATGATTCTGTAGCTGACTCCTCAGGAGGAGACGGTCCTGGCGCTTGCTGGACACTCTGGGACATCCTGAAGTCTTCTTCACTGCAGTCAAACCTCTCTCCTTCAAGTTCTTTATGATCATGTAAATGGTTCTTTCAGGTGCAATATTCTTTGTAGCAATTTCCTTGCATGTGAGGCCATTTTGATGCAAAGTGATGATGGCTGCACGTGTTTCTTTGGAGGTAACCATTGCTAACAAGAACACAATGATTGGAAGCGCTTCTTCCCTCCTTTTATAGCAATCCATCTGCTCTTACAATCTAATGATAGTGATTTCACCTGACTAGTACTCATTCACACTTTCACATGTGCTGCTGATATGAATAGTCAATTAATGTTAGCTGGTCATTTTGTGTCAGGATCAAAAAACAGTGAAATTATTTTTTTTTGTGAAAAGTTCATTTTTTGGCCAATGAAGCTTTTAGCAATTATTTAAAATGCATCTGATCACTCTACACTCTAGATTCAAAATAATCTAGAAACAATGTGAATGAACACCACAACTGCTTTAAGCAGCAAACTTTGCAAAACACAAAATGTTTGGCCATGACTGTATACAACATAAGTGAATAGTAATTAATAAAGGCAAACAAATACGGAATTCAACCCAAGTAAGAAATAATGCTTAAAAAACACAAGGCAACCAGCGAAACTATTATATTCTTTCTTATATTTCTCAGTTCCTATGCAAACCTATGGGGGTGTCACAACTTTGCTAATCAATGGCTCTGGTTCATGCCAGTGTGAAAATCGAACCATGTTTTTATGCAGCAAACAAGCAAAGTTGTAAATGTGAATTGGTGGATCGACAGTAAGCTAATGCTAATGCATTATAAGAATCTGAACAATTAAGAAACTAAGATATATTTGTTGTTTAATTAATATAGGAATTGATTAAAAATAATTATTTAAATTAATATAGTAATTGATACATTTGACTCATCCCTTTTCTTAAAAAATGGTTTAAAAGCTGAAATGTGAAGTTTATCATTTTATAAAACTTTTTGTTTTTTTTGTGAAAACCTGTAACTGAACTGTAAATCATGCTTTTTATTTACTGTTTAATATGTTACCATAGACATTGCCATGCCCTGCTCATATGATATTATTTTTATTTATGTGGGTCTTAAAAAGGTCTTAAGTCTTAAATTTGAATTTAAATTTAAAAAACCTGCAGATACCCTGTGTAATGTACTTTATACTTATACTTGGCATTGTGTACTATGACTGTTGTTGGATCTATTGACATTGTTTGTGATATTCCTAATTTGTAAGCCACTTTGTATAAAAGCATCTGTTAAATGAATAAATGTAAATATATTTATATAACGGAGAGTAGCTATAAGAGTATCCCTTTTAATAGTAAATGATAACCTTAAAATCATTGCTTAACATGCTCATATTTTTGCTTAAACATTTAATGGAAGCAAAGTTATTTGCAGTTTGTATTGTGAAATTGAATCATTGAAGTCCAAAAACATAATAAAAATGTTACATTAACTCTATATTCTGCTAGAAAATGTGTTGAATTGCTTAATTGGTGCAGTGCTTCCTTCCTTTCGTTGTACTTTACAGTTTTTCACATTTGCTAAGACACTAAATCTCATTCCCTGAAACAAACTCTCAATAGCCTAAATCAATAAATCACTCTTTCTGCAAAACAAGTTCAGGCAGTCAAACACTGCTTGCAAATCTGAAGTGCATGGGGCAGACAAATTTTTTCTGTTGCGGTACCTCCTATGGGCTGACGGCTGTCTATGAGCGCTGAATAACCGGTAAATTAAATATGCTTCCTTTATTGAAGTGATTGGTTATGAGATTTAAGTGACTACACTAAATAATCTTTGTTGATGTGGTTAATATTTGTGTCTTCTTGCCACAATCTCTAGCTGGAGTGCCTGTGAGCTTTGCTAGAGGGCACTCCATTCCAGACTCTTGACACTTTACCTCAGACCCCATTTCCCATAATCCTTTGCCCAGACTCATCATCAATTGCAATCACATGTCTCTTATCATCTCATTAGTCTCACACTATAAGAATGGCACACACACACTCTTACATCGCTGGTTATTGGATGTTTGTATGTTTTCCTAGTTTCCCGTGAGATCCTTGTTTTCCAAGTTTCCTAGTCTTTATTCAATCAATCAATCAATCAATCAAACTTTATTACAGACTCAAGGTCCAGATTTAAAAAAGACAACAGGACAACATATACAACCCATAGCATCTACCACACACAATAAAGAGTTACAAAATACAGCAATATCAATGTCTGCACAGCGTTGACTGATACCGTGTAGTACTAACCCTGATATTTGATAGACCCACAATAATCTCATTTTTTAGAAGCATTTAGCCAGCAGATAAATCTATACATAAGATTTCGTAACAGTGCTTTAAAAGTGATTACCCTTGCACTCACAAACATTTCACTTGCACTATGCCATCACTATGTTCTATAGTAGAACCACAAATGAGCAGTATAAAGTGTTGTACAGTATGCTTTAAAAAGTGACACCTTCACCTCATCTGAACAGAAACTAAACTTATGTAAAAGTATATTCGCCTGCATATACATCATACGGCATTGCCTTTAAATATCCTCATCATCTGTCATGCGCTCAGTGATGAAATGTCCAAGGTATTTTACTTTCGCACACAGAGTGAGACTCTTATTAGACAAATTGGAAACTGGAAATGTTATACTTTTATCCTCCTTAGTTCATCATAACCACACTCTTATCAGGATTATATAAAATATCATGCTCAAGACCATATTCAGAACACATAGTTAAAAGCTGTTGAAGACCAGCACTGCTAGGACTAAACACCACAAGATCATTTGCATACATGATATGATTCACTAGAATATTCCCAATCATACACCCAGTTTTACAAGCATTCAAACATTCAGATAGATCATCCATGTAAAGATTAAACAGAATTGGGGACAAAATCCCTCCTTGTCTCACACCATTAATAACCCCAAAAGGGGCAGAGACCTTATTGCCCCATTTTACTCGCATCATCTGGTGGGCATAGCAATAAACCAGGATTCTCACAATGTATTCTGGCACCCCTCTTTGTCTCATTTTAAAAAATAACTTTGCATGGTTAACCCGATCAAAAGCTTTAGATGCATCAATGAAGCACATAAAGACTGATGAGTTTTTATCTCTATACTTGTCTACTAGTTCCTTTAATGCATAGATGCAAAGATCAGTACCATGTTTAGCCTTAAATCCAAACTGGTTTTCTGTAGAAGATACTAGCTAAAGCTATAGGTCTATAATTATCTAAGTTACCTACCATTCCAGCTTTGTTCTTAATAACTGGTAACAAAACGGACACCATTGAATCTGGTAACACACTTTGAATCAAAAGGCCAGTAAAACAGACAGCTAATAAAGGGGATATCCTCTTACTTCCATATTTAAGACCACTAGCTGTATTTTGAGGCAATTTGCTTATAGCTTGATCCACCTCACGTGACATAATCACTATTGGATCATTAACTTGAATATCCTCCACATTATACAATTCATTTTGGATGCAATTTAAAAGACTACAATAATGTTGTCTCCATAAT